AGTAGCAGCATTGATATGACAGTTATTCAGTGAATTTTCTACTCCTGTTTTCCATAGATTGATTTTTGTCAGTCAAGAAAATATTTGATTGACTTATGTATTACACAGTGGGGGTTTTTAGAGCTGTTTTTGTCCTATTTTACATAAGTTTACTTTGTAAAATGAGCAACAGTACTTGTGAATCAGAACATCTGGTAAAACCCTGCAATCTGCCAGACATCTTGGGAAAGAAAAAAATGGCTCTAAATAAATGCTACTTGCAATGCTCTTTAATGTTATTCCAGATACAACGACTACATAAATGTAACAAGCTCAAGAGGATGGAAGTAACATCACACACCCGAAATCGCCACTAAGTGTCCATGTTTTCTGTAGTTCACATATGAATCACAAGTGAACTACTGTGCTGGCAGAAGTCAAAGGTCCCAGAGGGTGAAAATACATGATAAAAAAATAAAATAAAATAAAGAGGGGAAAACAAAAAAGGGAGTGAAAACTACAGATGTTTATCATGCTCTATGGATGCCTTCATTTTCAAAGTAACTATTCACAGATTAACTGAGATAGCTAAGAAACTCATTAATTAAACTGCTTTAACAAACAAACGGAAGGGACTTCAAAAGAACACAACTTTATTTTACGGTTGGGCCAATTCGAGTATTTCCTTTCATTCCCCAGTCACATGGAGGGACTAATGACAAACAAACATGTTCTCACCCTTCAGTATTTAGTGACGTGATTTTGCTACAAAATGTATGAACTGGAAAAGCTGCATTTAAATTCTCTTCTATTATCTGAAACTGGTATTTCAGAGAGATATTAATGTACAGCATTAGAGTTTATCATCATCTTCGTCACTGAGAAGACACAAGTTTAAATTTAGCTTTGGTTCCAAAACTGGATTAAAAACCAGCCTTGTACTGTGACCCAGATGCTCTAACAGCACAACCTGCAACAATAATATAATCGACTTAAACATCTCTTCTGACACTAAAAAAACCCCAAACATCTGAGTGGGAACTGTGCTGAACAGCAAAAAGAAGTATTTTATAAAGTTTTATATGACACAGAAAGCTGCAGAACACAGAATCATAGGAAGATTGTGGTTGGAAAAGACTTCAGTATTCGAGGTGCAGCCTCACCAGTGCCAGGGATGCTACATGCCCTGTAAAAGATCACAAATACTGCAGTATCCATGGTGCTTCTTACTCTTATCCTCCTCAAAATTTGCTTAACTTTCATGGTTAACAAGAGGGAAGCAGTAACTGATGCTCATAGTTCACAGAAGTGGAAGGACAAGGTTCAGAGGGACAACTGAGGAGTGCCCAACTCCTCGCCCCAGGTACTCTAAGCCACTAAGAAAGCTGCAACTATCCCCAGCAGGAAAGGGATTAAAGTAAAATATTAGGGCCATCGGCATCTGAGCTCCAGCGTCAGGAAGCTGGGAAATTAACGTTTTTGCCTCTCTGTATAATTACGTACTGGCAAAGTTTTACTGGCTGCCCAAATAAGACTCTTCAACAGATGTACATGATACACAGCTTAGTAAATGGAAACTACTTGGACCCGTTTACAGTGAAGTAATGTCTCCAAAATAACTGCCAGTGCTCTACCATCTCACAGTAACATGCTCGCAGACCCACAACAGGTTAATAACACAAGCAATTTCACTGTT